TACTGCTTAGGGTTTAGGATTTAGGGTTTAGGGTTTATAGTCCCCCTTAAGTAGATAGAATATGGGGATCTTATTATAATATACCCAAAGCCATATTCTATCTACTGAAGGGGGGCTATAAGCCCTGAAGCTTGAGGCTTCTCCAGGATTCAGGGTCAGGATTGGAAGTTTGGACTTGAGGGCATTGTCCAAGTAGCTGAAGTGTCTCTGCGGCTTTGGCATTATTGCTTAGGTCAGGCGCCCCTATAGTAATAGCTTCTTAATACGGAAGTAAGAGGGCTTTCAATATAATATAGTCCCTTGTGGTACCCATTACTGGGTGGGAGATTGACCCACCCTAAACCCTAAACCCTGTATAACGCATTATAGTAGTTCCATTTTCTTTTCCACTACCCCCATATAACCCCAATATCTACCCTATAATCCCTATATAACCCCTATATCATCCCTGTAGTTTCCATTTTCTTTTCCACTATCCCCATATAACCCCCAATGCACCTTCAGGGGTTTGGGGCTCCTGCCTTGACTTGGATAGAGGACCCTAGGAGGCCTAGCTGAAATGGATGCTACTACGGATTTTTCGGGCTTAGGGTAGTTATAGGGTTTAGGGTTTGGGGTTTAGGCTTTGGGGTTTAGGGTTTGGGGTTTCGGGTTTAGGGTTTGGGGTTTGGGGTTTAGGGTTTATAGTCCCCTCCCCCAAAAACAGAGCCTCTCACCCTCCGAAGATTAAGTACTCACCCTCTGAAATATGATGGTACCATATTGGCTGGTTTAGGATTGGGGGAGGGTTTGTTATTAGAGGGAGTGGAATACAGATCTACTTTATAAAGGCCCTCAGGGTTGAAGTTCCTTCAGATGGGCAAATTCCAGAATACAGCCTTGAAGCATATGATCTATAGTCTGGATAGGGGAGTATTTTTTCAGGCTTATTAAAGGGGATACTTGGAGCTTAGACGATACCTTTTTCACGTGGTAGAGGATAGTCAAGGCTTGGGCTTCCAGCACCTTCACCAGGATTCTCGAAGCTCTCAGAAAAAGCTAGTTCTCCTGTTGGACTTCTCTCTTCAGGCAACAGTCCGCAGCAGCAACATGTTCCGAAAGTACGTCTGAAGCCTGCCGGCTCAAGCGACAGTCCATCAATGTCAGGAAGCCACCTCGCTTATCTTGAGCAGACAGCTCGCACAGGGAAATCTCAAACGAGCCAGTTGGTGTTGCCCCTAGCTATTGTGACTCATGATACGAGAGCAGTCAGACCTTGATTGCTTAGCCTTTAGGGTTTAGCCTTCAGAGGCTGTATGGGCCAACGTGGAACTATAGGACGCCATGCAGCAGCTCCAACAAAGGCATTTAGACATCCTTTTGTGACAAAAAAAGCATGCAACCAGTGCACTTCACGCAACTCATACCAACCGCCTCGTACTGTTTCCTCAGGGCCTCAAGCTAGTCGTGCCACAGATGAGGAGCTTAGGCAAGACGTGCAAGCTGCCCCAAAAACTGTTTGAATCATTCAGGCGCTAGGCCACACAGGACCTCTCACGTTGCCCTTTTGCTTATTTTGCTTAGTCTTGCCCCGGCTTCGTGCCATCATGGCTGCCGCTCAGCGCTGTTTTACGGACCTAAGCAGTGCCGAAGTACATGTCAGCTTCATTGGGTGGTTGGTCGCAGGAAAGGGTCCATGTATTGAGTCCTGGTCATGTACACCAGTCCGGGGCTCATAGAAGAATTTGCTCTTAATGTGATGATGGCGTGAAGAATGGTCATAACGCCTACTACTAGCACTAGTACGGCTAGTGCTGCGGCTGCTACCACCTCTTCTACTACTGCCACCACCACCACCACCGCCACCACCGCCGCCGCCACCGCCGCCGCCGCCGCCCCCCCAGCTAGCCATGCACATGTACATACGTGCATGTACACACATTATCGAAGAGCATCCGCATGCCAAGGGCCCTGAAATTCCAAATGCGATGCACCATGCAGCAATTCATCTGAAATAGGATTCGCCTACTGTAGGTATGCAGCCGCAGCCTAAATTGATAAATGCCGCCTGAGCCATTCCTGAGCTTCGTATTTGAAAGCACAGTTCCTCAGCAGCTCACAGCCAGCGGTGTGCTCCATATGCCAACTGCATTCTTAGTCCAGAATACCTTGTCCAACAATCCGCGAAAGCTTTTAGATCCCGCTTTCTGTTGCCAAGTACCTGGGCAAGCCGCCGTACCCCAACGCGAATTTTAGCGCCTTGGCGCAGCGGGACGGTCTGGATGAGGAGTTCTCCTACTCAGACGAGCTGCTTGGCAGCTTCTATGAAACCCAGTCGCCCAGTGGCGAGGAAAGCTGCAAACGAGGAGCTGTGACACTTCTCATCGCGAGAGCCACTGAGTAGCGTTTTCATCACACGAGTTGCACGCGCCATCTACCATGCAAAAACTTCTGAAAGGATTGCATGCAGACCCTGTTGTTCAGGTTTGACCTCACGGAGATGATTTATGTAGGGGTATATAGGGGCTAGAGTTGGGGCTTGCAAAGCAAAGTGGGACCCCGATCGGATCCTGAAGCAAGGCATTTGGCAAAAACCTTGCAGGGCCATTCGGCCCAATCCGCTGTACTCCTGGGATGCAACATGCCTTGGCTGCCACACATACCCTGCTGGCATGAAACAGTATAGCAGTTCGCAGTTCAAGCCCAGCTTATCTCAGAAGCCCGGATTCTACAAAATTCCCATTGATGCTGCATGGAACTCAGAAACAGCTGCCTCTAGTTGTCCTCAGGTACGAGCCTCGCCGCTTGGCGACAGAAAGTTCGAGAACGTGGCCAGTGCCGCTGCACCCTCCGTTTTTATGTGATGCTTACATACCCCCAGTGAAGAAGCCGGAATACTTGCCAATTCAATATTGTGCTCCTGGAGTCTTTGTATAATCATGTAATAATGATATGAGGTCTTTCCAATAGACATCAAGATGATAGTGGTCACTATTCATGCATCTACACTACCCACTATCTCATTGCAGACACCATTTTGTTGAGTGTAGCCTCCCTTTTCCTGTGCCCACAATTCGTGGTCTGCCATAGGCGTTTAAGGCGTACAACTTGAGGGCGTGAGTGCCAGCAGCCTCAGTTCGATACGACAGCTTGACTCCCTTGAGTACCTCATTGAGATGCCCCCCAAGGCCCCAGTTAACTGGGCTTTGTAACTATAGGGTACATCGAACCCAGAACCCATAATTTAGGTACTTGGAGCCCTAGGGATCACCAGAGTGACCCCAAAAGGAACGCGCAGCCGTCCCAACCGCTGGCAGATGGCGGGGCTTTGCCTTGGCTGCCTCGGACGCTGGGCTTCTGTCTCAGATGAGCTATAGTCTAAACTCCTTAAAGGGGGGTTATATAGGGAATTATATAGGGGACTACGATAGGAGATTAAGGGGGATACTAGGAGTTTAGGCTATAGCTCAGATAGGCATGGCGTCAAAGGGCCAAATGGGTTTCCCAATATTAGGGGTACCTACTATAATGGAGAATCAAATGGAAAAGAAAATGGAAAATGAAATGGAAACTGTGGGTTTAGGGTTTAGGGTTTAGGGTCAGATAGGACCCAAAGTCGTTGGTCCTGTTTTGGGGTCTCAAGCTTTGGGTTTAGGGCAAGTTTAGGGTTTGGGGGTTTCGGGTTGACGCAGGATGTTTTAGGAAAAGCGCACAGCGTTTAGGTGACATGCGTTTGTGGGGGATTGTCATGGTGCAACCTTCTGCGAAGGGAGCATGTGGGAACTAAGATTGAGTCAAGAGGAACTCTAGAGAACAAGCAGCGGTTATGTTGCCTGACGGGTACTGTGAAAGTTGTAGGTCTAGAGATAAGTCCAGTTCTTAGCGGTCCGTAAGCCTTGAAGCCTCCAAGCCATCGAGACATAAAATTGTGTCTTAGAGTCTTGGGGTTTTGAGAGTTGTTTGTTTCCTCGGAATTTTGTAGGATTCTTCAGATCTTTGGCCATGGGACGAGCCCTGAATCCCAGCCAAAGGCGTCGTGCTATTGCCCATCCTTGCGTGACTCGGGCTGCAGCTAGGGTCCGCAGGGTATGTGGGGATCTGGGGGAAGGGAGCGCAGGATCAGCCTTGCTTTCGCAAGATAACGTGGTAGGTACAATGTAGGTACCTTAGATTCATCGCTTTGCCGGAAGTATATGGCGAAAATCAAGAGATTAAGGGTCAAAGAAAGTCTCAAGCAAATCCGGCAATGTGATAAGGCCTTGAGCCCCTGCCCGCTTATGTTTCCCAATACCTGGTTGAATCGGAGCTTGACCTTAATCATGCGTTGGTGTGTCCGCAAGATTTAGGGCCTAATGATCTCCAGAAGCAAAAAACGGGCCCAATGCAGGTGCATTGTATGTACATATACGTGGATCCCCAGGGATTGGATTCCAAATCTTCTTGCGACCTGAATCTGAGGGTCTGAGAATGATGGCGGGCAGGTCTGCCAAGAGTACCAGACACAATTGTATTTACGATTGCGCGTGCCCACAATGCACAACAACTCCCCATAGAGGCCGAACTCCTGTCAGAGGTGTTGGTGTGGGCATCCAGCCGTCAACGTTTAACTAAATAGAAAGGGCGCATTTGGCACCTCGGGCGCTGATTTCTACATCTGCGTCTGAGCCATAATCTAAACTCCTTAGAGGGGGTTAAAATTAAAAGGGATCTCATCTAAGCCTCAACTCCTTGACCCACGGCACTTGTGCAAGCCCAAGCCCAACATCGCGAGCCCACAGCTCTGAAGAAAGAGCAGAGGAAGAGCGCAAACCAAAGCAGGCCCCTCCCACCAAGGGATCCAGGTATAAGAACAACTCAATTTGGGCCTTGCAGTCTATAAATCTTACCTACTTTGGGGGCTTCGGACCCCCAGGGTTTGGTTTGGGGCCCACAAGCCCCTGAAAGTCAATTGCACATTTCGTGATCAAACTATTTTTCTTGTGGCCTTCTTAAAAGCCACAAGCATGGATCCCATGATTTTGCGAGTTATACGAGGAGACCCTAATTCAGATAGGTTCCCATGTAGGCACCATGAAAACCGGACAAACCCCTCATCCTCACAAATCCATGTATCGTCCCTGTATTTGTTCATATTTGTACAAAGAGATCCCCACAAAAGAAGCTTACATAATAATCTGCTTCAATTCCTGGCTTGCCCTGTCAGGGCATCCTTCTTCATCAACTCCTGGGCGGAGGTGGCATGGGCATTCATGGATCTAGAACGATTCAGGCTTTCCAGGCGCGATTAATTAGGCGCAAATCTTGTTTGGATGGGAGATCGTGGGGTTCCAGCTTTGAGCGTTTATGGGGATCAGGGACAAGGGGGCTAAGACGAGACTTGTAAGTTGAAAAGGCCGTGGTGAGCTATGTAGGGTGAGGGTTGGAAACAGGAGTTTCACAAAATCACCTCTGTATAGGGGACCCCTATAAAAACATCTTATCATCCTTTCATGTCCGTATATCAGAGTCGCGAAAAGGCTCGCCCCAATTTGTCAACCACCCGGTGCATCTTCTGAAGCGGTTTGCCCCGTGGTTCCTTCCATGGTTCTTACTAGGGTGATCAGCCCTGATGGCCCTGATCCAGGCGTATTTTGCAGGACAAGATCAAGCCGCGTAGTTGTGTTGTTGTGGGACGCCTGCTTTCGCAGTAGTTATGACTCCTCATCCAATCTAAAACGATGTCAAGTTTGTAAGGCCTAGGGAAATCACCTGTCGCCAACAAAAACACGGTCCCCATACTCAGCCCTGCAAGAAACAAAAAACGAGGGGCCCGCAAATGAAGTGCGCCGCAACATCACAATGACATGTCCCCAACGGCCCATGTACCTTTTTTGGTACATACTTTGGGCCCAAGGGGGTTCCTATATAGGTACTTTGAGTCCTAAGTATATGGGTAGTTCTCAACATGATGGGCCCCTGTTGGTGGTACGTAGATTATATTGCGGCACCTAAGAAAAATATCTAGGGTACCAAAGAAGGAGCCTAATTTTAGGAACGGCCCTTCTACTAGATATATGTGCATGGACCCTTTGGGTTGGAGAGGATGCTGTGGAAGCGTCCGGCCTACAGACCTTCGGGGAGCCTCGGTCAGAGGGGGCGGGTACAAGGGGACTGGGGAGGGTCTACTGGAAGAGTCAGGGGGGACAGAGTAAGTATACTCATAGCCCCTATCCCTAATGCCCTACATAAACCTGAACCTACTTACAAAGTCCTCTGACCCTTCAAGTACCTTGCGTAGCTCAAGGGTGGCTCTGGGGCGAGGCATAGGAGCAGGCCTCCTTTTATTGGACTCATGGACTGACCCAGTGGATTCTTGGGATGGCGCTGAGGATTTTGGATATATATATATATAATCCCAATCACCATACTATACAGCTTCGGGGGTGATACCTGCTAATTAGAGGGTAGCCACTATGGAACTAGTCATGACTGTTACAGGTACCGACCTTGGTTTCTAGCATGCGAGGTCTAGGTAAAGGATGGATACCCTGTTCTGTCCAAAGGCCTCAACGCTAGGGCTCTACAGGGTGTAATACCCTAAACCCTAACTTAGGTTATCATAGTAAGGAAACCCTATTATCATGTTTACCATTCTTATGGTAACTGCTTTACATTCCTTAGCAGCAACCAAGTCATTGTCATTCTGACGGCGTTCCTGCTCCGACGCCTGCCCCAAGGCCCCTTCCTTTTCCCCAAAATCCCTGCTGCGAAGCTCCAGGTGTTTTGCAAAGTCTTGGTGCGGCTTTACGCTGGGTGACACCTGCCCCTATCGGAGTAACGTCCAGAATGGGGTTCACTGTTGTTGAGAAGCCTATGAAATCCTCCTTCAGTCTGAACCTAAATCCGTGCCTGCACTGCTGCGAGATGCGCGTGTCTAAATCCTCAACCCTAAACCCTCAACTTCCCTGAGCCCCGAACCTTAAACTCTAAGCCAAGGTCCCGACCAGGGTAGCTTCGGTAGACATCTCCATGGTCAGCGCCAGATGGAGCTTCACGGATCTGGAAGTCGCCAGCCCACCCGGCTATGGCCGCAAGCTTAGTGCGCGGTTTAGGGGTTTGGGGTTTAGGGATTTAAGGGGTAAGGGGTTAAAAGGGCTTGGGGTTAAGGAGTCCTGGGCCTGGAGCTGGGCTTATGTGGCATTGCAATATGGTAGGTTCCATGCATAAGGGGACCCCAATATCCCAAAAAGGCTTGGGCTGCTTTTTCCATTGTTATGCCCAGGAGCGCTTACTCCGGCTGCAACATCTCGGTAGGTCATCCCATGATCTCATGCTTCAGCAGCTACCGGCTGATCAAGGCAGATGGAGAACTGAGAAGTCAGAAGGAGCGGGGCATGGGTTACGATGTTCAGGGTCTTTGTTGCTATTGGAGGCGTGGAGAGTAGAAGCTAGACACCAAGTCTAATGACCTTTACCTTACCCTCACTTTGGGAGCTCGCTGCTACGCAGCCCAGCTTCAACCCCAACCAGAGCTCTCCTGCAGATCCTCCTGGCTCTCTGCTTGATTGAATACGACTCTAACCCCCAATTTCTGACAGTTTTATCGGTTAGACCGACTAGTAAACGAGTACGTGCTGCACTAGATGAGAGGTAGTTGCTGTTAGAGGGGGTGCTTGCAGTGCTTCAGGCCCGCAGAACTTCATGTCGATGGGGAGTGGCGTTTTTGATCTTGGCCACTGGGCAGCAGTTCACTACCTGCAGAGGGAGGGGAGGATATGAGCTATAGTCTAAACTCCTAGAATCCCCAGAATAGCCCCTATAGTAGTCCCGTATAGAATCCCCAATATAACCCCTCTTTAATGAGTTTACACTCCAGCTCAGATGATGGGCTGGGGTAGCTCGGCTCGGTTCTTGACCCTTGTACCCGGCCCAAAATCACGTTTCGAGTTTTGAGCCTCGGAAATTGTAGCGCGCTCGGGACGTTGATATTCTTGACCTTCAGTCTCTGGTATTATCTGTTTTGCCGTGATTGGGCTCCGCAATCAAATGTGCCCTAGAACTTCGCTCAAAGAGTATTTCTTGCTCCCGCAATTGAATCCCAGCTCCTGAAAATCGATCGATCCTAGACATTGGTCAACAGGAGAGCCCCGTACGTCAGGCTCAAAAATCGAGCAATCCTATGCGCATGCAAGCCAAAAATAAGCAAAAATATTATGCCAAATCCCTGCGAACGGTCGCCGCAATCTGCTATGCATAAGTTCCCAGCATCTGTCATTGCACTCATCTTCCTTCGTAGTTCTGCATCCGTGATTACCTACAGCTTTCTGGGTTGTACCTCTTAGTTACAGGGTAAGTACTTTTGATCTGTGGGGCATTGGGGTTACAGAGTATCAGCGTCCCTGGAGCAGAAGCAAGGATTCCTTAGGAGGACCCCCCACCCTGTAATAGCGGTATAATAGGAATATAAGAGGACCCTAATATAATCCTTATTATCCCTAAACCCTGTAAACCCTAAACCCTAAACCCTACCAAAAGGATTCCGATCCATGTTCTTCTCGCCTCTGGTCATCCAAGAGCTGACGCTGTCGGACGTGCAGGTCAACATTGCCCTCTGGATGGACAAATCCCCGCCCCTTACTGTTAACCCACCCCCCAACCCCCTAATATAAGATACTACCAATATTTTTTCAAGATACCACAATGGGGATAATCAATATTAGGTGGGATTCAATATTAGGGGGGGGGGGGGTGGGTTATCCTTTTCAGTTTGCTTTTGCAGGAACGTCCAGGGTTGTTCTGAAGTTAAGACTCCATGCGGCAGTGGAGGCAAGGATTGGCGGTCCAGCTAATGTTGTTTGGTTTCGGAGGTTGCAAATTCCCCAAAATTCTTCTGTCTTATTCCTTGAGACCAATCCTTGTATGGTTCTTGGGAATGGAGACCAACGTGCTTGTTTTATCGTTTGGGCTGCTGGACCAAGGATCAGCGAGTGGATGGCACCTCCAACGCCAAGCTCATCATGGATTGGGCTCAGGGATTCCAGGGTTTGGGTTCCGGTAGCTTGCTGCTCCAACTAAGGTCTTTTCAACAGGGTCCGCAGTAATTGCATCATTCAGTATTTGTCAAAGTCCTTGCCAAATGCTTCGATTCCATGCATCAGAAAGTTTCGGATCATCCCATGGGCTGGAAAACGGGATGAGCCCAGGCTTAACCTCCTGCTTTCTCCAAGCGGGGCCCTTCTCGGGATCCCGTAGCCCATCCCCTACCGGCCTCTACCCTTTTTCCTTGTTAACCCGGCAACGAACCGCGGTAGGCAAACGTTCAAAACCCTACAGCCGCGACGTATATGGAGGCAAACACGTTCCAGGTATGAAGGCAAAAGTGGCATGGTAGTCATTCTATGACGGGGCATCGACAGTACGCATGCGTGCATCCATGCATGCACGCAGGCTTCGAGTTGTGCCGCTGGCTGCTAGATTGGGGCGTTTGGAAATACACCAGGGTGTGCAAGACAATGTGGCATTAAGTTGCTCAGATTGCGGCCATTACGCCCAGTTGTCCTTAGTTGTGAATGCCAGCAAGGTGTTGCTTTGTCCTATAAGTTGTTGGGTAAACGCATGGAGGGATGAGAAGCGACTCTTTTTTCCTCAGCCTCTCACTTGCATTATGCCTCTTAGGCCACACGTACAACTGCTTTTAACGTTCACGCTCCGTCACTGGTGGCCAGCTTGCAGCAGAGCCCTGATTTCACATGTGCCTATCCCGACCCTAGACGAGAAGCCAAAGATTGAAACCTCTTAAACAGGGCGCTGGCTCGCAGGAGCACATACACAAGGTCTCAGACTCTGCTGCAAGCAAGCGGCTGCTTGGCGAATGTCCTCGGAGTTTGCGGCACAATGTATGTGTTAGGAATATTTGCTTTGCCCGCAGTGGGCTGCTTTGGTCCTTCGTTATGGTGAGCCTTCTTCAGGAGTAACGGCATTCTTGTTTGACACCAAGGCCTTGTAGTAGCAGCCATCACCAAAAACATGAAAAATGAGCAGATTTTTGTATGGGGTCACTGAGGGACCCAGCTTAAGCTTTGCAAGACTGCTGGATGCTTTGGGGCTGTGAAGCCCGAGGAGTTGTTTTGAATGCCTGGCTGCCCTGACGTCACCAAGCCGCTCAGGAGTACCTCCTGAGACTTGACCAAAGAGATGATTCCTCCTTTATGTATGGAAGCCGACGCGTTAGTTGGGGAAGGGAAGTGCGCTCCAGGTTCAACGAGGCCTTGATGAACAAGAAGGCGTGCTGCCAGCAAAAGCAGTCTTAGCTTGGAACAGTGTGTAATCCCTTCGTGCTAGAACTGATAGTACAACGTTATTGGTAGTAATAATTGCCACAGCTATAATAGTACCATCGATCTCTTCATACTAGAATAACAGGAAAATGAAGTGATATGAAAATTAAGTTCTACATAAGGTTTCTATGGAATGAACCCTTCGGAACATGACATGGAAACTGAGTTTATATGGTGTTAACTAACAACATAACAGCGCCCACACCCCTAACGTCAGATATCCCCTACCCAACATACACTGGTATTCTATTGGGGGTTGTTTCTTGTTAGGGCAGAAAAAAGCCAGTAAGTTGGAACATGGACACAGCAAGAATAAGGCTACTTGTTTTTCTTTCTAGATATTGAGGTAAGGGATGCTCGATTTCCGATTTTTTGGCTCCTGAAACAAGAGCTTCAGTGATGAAATAGATCTATCGGCAAGGTGGTACACGAAACCCATGATGCTACGTGATTGTTTCAGGTTGAGGCGCTCGGCGCTCGGTAAAGTTGACATGGAACTACAACGGGGTGGGACCCTCCCCCAGGTTAATGTCCAGATCGGTAGCTGCGGGACCGTCCTTTGGATAACGGTCCGTGCTGAGATTTTCTGCCGGGTCCGGGAAGCATGGTTTCAAGCACGAGGAGTTCTGTGCACTACCTCAGGGGTTGAAGTATACAAGCAGTACCTACATTGGGCCGGAAAGTCTGTAAATCTTGCCTGCATTGGGCTATTTGGATCCCTAGGGCTATAGCGAAGATGCAGGACTCGACGGTCAGACTCCCAAATCAATTCTGCAGGCTTGAGGCTAGCTGCTTTGGGCCAAACCTGTTTTCAGGCGATAGTGGCCAGAAATTTGCAGACACTGTTTCATGAGGAGCCGCTGGTGGTAAGAGACTGTTGATCCCTATGCTTGAGGGAAGCCTTGATGCCTGAGCTGCAAAAGATTAGCATGGGGAAGAGTCTCGCTCTGATTGGGGATCAACTTCCAGTAGATATCTTTGCGCACTGCAGGCTTCCCAGGCCAATCAGGGGTCAGCATGGAAGCACATACCGAGCTCAGCAAGCATAATTTTGTGGCACATGAGCTTGTAAAGTGAAGGGTGGTTCCGCCACAGCAAAAACTTTAAACCCTAAACCCTAAATGCAGGTGACGGTAGACAAGATCACCTTCACCAACATCGTCACGCGACTGTGTCTCCACCCCTCCTGCGATATGTCGCCGCCACCGTACTTCGTTATCAAGAAGGTGGAGGCAGCATCCTAAGTCACAACTCCTTGTGCCGAAGATAGTCCTTATAGTTAAGCAGCAGTAGGAATTTTCATGGTCAGGATGTAGCCCCTGATGGAGGTCGAACTTACTGGTTCTTACAGTAGGGAATAAGGGAATATAATCCCAATATCATCCCTATCTGTATATATATATACATATATCATTCCGCACTAACCCTCTGTAAGAGAGCCTGGGGGATTGCATGTTTACATGCAGCCATGCTGATGATGGCGAGACCACTACTGCCCCTGCTGCCGCTAGAACCTTTAGGGTCCAGGTCCTTAAGGGTAACAGCAATTTTGGCACACGTCCTGGGCAAGTATATATGGTCATTGGTTACAGCCCCCCTTAGGTAGATAGAATATGGCTTTGGGTATAATACTATGAAAAGATCCCCATATACCCAATATTCTATCTACCTAAGGGGGACTAGATTTGGACCCGTAGGGGAAGGCTTGGAGGGAAGCTAGGAACCAACAGTCCAAGCCAAACCTGCGCACAGACGCACAGACCCCGGAGGTGAACGACATTGGCAAGAAGTCTGGGGGAGTCTTCGTCCCGGACTTGTTTGAAATCATCGTCACTTGGCTGCACATGCCTGGATTCAAGGGGCTAAGGCATGGCTCGAACAAAAAACATTGGGACATGTCAGCTGTCAGCCGCGGAGCCTGCAGAGTGCCTACTTCTTTGAGCCTTTTCATCGTGAGCATTAGCAGGGACGCCTGTTCGTATGCGCCCCAACACCCGCAGCATTAGCATCAGCCGGACTCAGCCGGAGCCATTCCTGCCGATCCCGCCGACTGGCCCCATCATCATCAGCATGATCACCCTATGCCAGCATTGCGAGCGTCAAAATCCGGCGGCCAGAATATCAAGATCATTCAAGATCATCAACATTAGCTGGGTTTTGTCCGGCACATGGCACCACCCGCAGCACCAGCATGCTCATCATCAGCAGCAAGCCAGCCACAGCCATTTCGTCATGACAGCCATCATCCTCAGTTTCCCGCCTGGACATTCCGCCACGTCAGCACCAGCACCAGGAGGATTTGCTAGTCATCTTGGGCCCTTCAAGAGCATCAGCGGAACCATTTCTTGTTCTGCGCAGGCCTCGCCAGGCCAGCACTAGCATTATCAGCATCAGCTGCCCAAGCACATGAGCATTCGAACCATTCCATTTCATCCAGTACATCTCTGAAGGGGTATGTTGCCCCAGACTCCGCGGGGACAGTCAGGTGTAGTTGCTTTCCGTATGTATATAGGCTCAACCAGCCTTGCTGGAATTCACGTGCAGAACTGGGCTACTAATGGATCATCATCAGGCATGTGTAGCTTCTTTTGCAAACACGTGCTGCGGGGCAGTGCAACTAAGCGCGACGTTTCCAAAGCCTGCGCAAAAATCATCTTGCATTTCCTTATCGTAGGCCAAGAGAACCGTCTCTTAGATGACTTTGTTGGGCCCGATGAATGGTAAACACCGGAATACCTCAAGAATTATGAGTATTTTAAGGTCCGGGCTGTGGTAGTCTCAGCCATCCGAGCCGCACCGCACCAGCTGGGCAGCCCGCTGGCAGACAGCTTGGGCGCAGGCCGCCTAAGAAAGGAGGGATCTGGCTGTCTCAGGGCGGGCTCAGAGGGGCATTTCCTGTTGCTTGATTGGCATTCCTTAGCTAAGTCACGCCAAAGGTTCAGGGCGTCCAGCGTAGTTCAATCATGATTCGGGTTCCTGAGCCATGCGCCCCAAAGCCTGATCTGTGAGCCCGGCAGCTCTTGGGCCGAAAGCCCAACCCTTTAGTCCCCCTTAAGTAGATAGAATATGGCTTTGGGTATGTTATAATAAGATCCCCATATACCCCATATTCTATCTACTTAAGGGGGACTATACATCTCTAAGCCCGCAGGCCTACTGCAGGCGCTCGACTATGCCCAGCTGCATTACGATACCGGGCAGCATTTGCAAGAAGTTGCTGACCTCTCCCAGTCGCTCACAGAGAGTCATGGAAGTTCGTCTTCACTGCTGCGGTACAATTCTCACAAGTCTTGCCTGGGAATCATCGCTTCCCTTGGATGGGGGGGCGTATGTCATGTGCCATGCCCGGCTTGTAAGGCCAGGCACTAGATTATTCATTCAACCGAGAGCTTTACTCTTTAGCTGTAAGGAGATCTGCAAAACAGGCAACCCCTATATAACCCCAATATA